TCCCCCTCCCCCCCCGCCCGGTTGGGCTCCCTCGGCGGCGGGGACAGCCGCTGGACTCGGTGCAGAGGGTGATGTCGGCCCCGGCGGGCGGGCGGGAGGCCACGCGCGGAGCAGGCCGGCTTGGCTCGTGCAGGGCAGGGCAGCGGGGCCCACGCGGGGCTGGGGAGAAGGGAAGCTGTGCACACGGCCTGCCCCGCTCTGCTGTGGTTGGTCGGCGGTCGTGACCCTGGCAAGTGATTGGCTGGGGGCTGTCAGTCACCCCCTGCAGTCCTGCCTCTGGCAGCAGGCTGGGGATGAGTGGCCCTGGGAGGGCCCAGGGGAGGCGTTCGGCCCCTTCCTCGCCCCGCAGGGCAAGGCAAAGCACCAGCCCCCTACCCCTAAAAGGGCCCACACAGCAGCCCCTGTGGAGGGTCCCAGGCCTGGGTGTGGGGGCTGGGGTGTCATGCTGAAGCAGGGCTGCCTGGTTTCTTTCCCCTCTTTAACCTCCTGGTGCCTCTCCTTTGTCAGGGCTCTGCCTATCACAGCACATCAACATCAGCATCCTCGGACCTGGCCATGCCAGCGATCCCTGTCACCAGGGGAGGCTTCTCTGTCTGAACTCGGCTGTCTCCCTGCTTGCAGCCAGTGGTGAAGTCTTCAGAAAACGAACGCTTAATGGATAAGGATTCATGGGAAAAGGCCCAGAAGTGAAAGAATAAGGTAAGTATCTCTTGGGTCATGATCAGGGTGGGGAGAGCAGTGACAACAGCAGCATTGGGTGTAGGCTGAGCATGCCAAAACATGTAGAATGAAATGACTTTGGCACAGGTACTTCCTGCCATGTATTTCCCTGACAACAGCTGCAATGGGAAAGAAATCCTGAGTCATGACTATTTCATCCTTTCTATTTGTGTTTAGATCCTTTCCTTTTCATTGTGAAAACCCTTTACTTTCCAAGAATGTGAAGTATTTGAGTGCAGAAATACCTTGCTTTGATGGTGGCCAATGTTAAACAAGTGGGAGCAGTTGTCATCCATGCAATTAATTTAAACAGCCTGGATAACTCAAGATTTCACACTTCTGGCTGTTTCTAAGTGAGTCATGTAAAGGGTGTGATTAATCATCCTGCCATAAGATTGTCAACAACATGGATATTTTTTTTTCTACCACCTACAAGCTTTACTGCTCTCCCTATTACTGTATATGAGAGATGGCAGGTGGGAGGGGAAGGAAGAAGAGAATCTTTATTTTCAAAATCATACACTGAATGAAGAAAGCATCTGACGTGGGCTTTTTCTTAATAAATAGTGGTTTACATAGGCATCTTCTTGTGCAGCAGGATGGTACTGTATTCAGTTAGGACATTAACATTCAGTTTAAATGTTCAGTGAGTTGATGAGGATCGCTAGGCCAGGGGGTTAGTTAGGAATACCTACATATTTTCTCCATTTATTTGAATGGCAACTTCATATGAAAACTGTAGGCATTGACTGTGTTCTGCCATCTGTGTTGCTTGTTGCCTTAGCTTGTAAATCTTTGGGGCAGAGACTGTCCCTGACTGGGGCTTTTTTGCGGTACCTAACACAATGGGCATCAAAATTGACTTAGGGTCATTGTCTAGCAGTAGTGGGCAAAAAATGCTACATAGTATGGAAAGAACTATAAAGATAGTGGGATGTGGGGACAGGGTGGTGAGAGTTCAGGAGAGTGGTGAGGACAGGGACCTTGAACTTGATATTGTGGAAACGAGAACAGGTGGAGGAGTTTACAGCCAAATCTAACTCTTATTAAAAGCAATGTAGGGGACCTTTCCCTCCCTAGTTTCATAGTTGGTAGGGACCTGAGCAGATCATCAAATCTGACCCCTGCTATAGGCTTGAAAGAATGCTGGGGTCAAATGACCCCGGCTAGGTGATTATCTAGCCTCCTTTTGAAGACCCCCAGGGTAGGAGTGAGCACCACTTCCCTTGGAAGTTGGTTCCAGATCCTAGCCACTCTGACTGTGAAGTAGTGCTTCCTGATGTCTAGCCTGAACCTACTCTTAGTCAACTTGTGGCTGTTATTCCTAGTTACTCCTGGTAGTGCTCAGGGGAACAGGGACTCTCCTGTTCCGTGCTGGTCCCCCCCGGTAAGTTTATAGACGGCCCCCAGGTCCGCTCTCAGCCTTCTTTTGTGGAAGCTTAACAGGTTGGGGTCCCGTAGCCTCTCCTCGTACAGCCTGCCTTGATGCCCCCTGACTCTGCGAGTGGCCCTCATCTGGGCCCTCTCAATGCTGTCCACTTCCCTCCTGAAGTGCAGTGCCCAGAACTGGATGCAGTAGCCCAACTGCAGCCTGACCAATGTTGCATAGAGGAGGAGGATCACCTCCTTGGACCTGCTCTTGTTGCATCTGTGGATGTATGACAAGGTTGGGTTAGCCTTACTTACCGTGTCCTCACATTGGTGGCCCATGTTCATCCTGGAATCAATAATGAGTCCAAGATCCTTTTTTGCCTCTGTGCTGAAAATAAGGGAGTTCCCCAGCCTAGAGTATGCTGCTGGTTCTTCCTCCCTAGGTGCAGTACCTTGCACTTGTCAGTATTGAATCCCATCCTATTCTCATCTGCCCACCCCTGTAACCTGTCCAGATCTAGTTGTAGCCTGTTGCTCCCTTGTAGCGTACCCACCTCTCCCCACATCTTAGTGTCATCTGTGACTTTGAACAAGGTGCTTTTCACCCCCTCGTCCAAGTCGCTGATGAATGTGTTAAACAGTGCGGCCCGAGGACTGAACCCTGGGGGACCCCACTGCCCATGTCCCTCCAGGTCAAAAACGACCTGTCCACCACCACCCTCTGGGTGCAGCCCTCCAGCCAATTTGCAACCCATCTGACTGTGTAGGCATCGATGCCACAGTCACCTAACTTTTTAATAAGGATGGGGTGAGAGACAGTGTCGAAGGACTTCCTGAAGTCCAGAAAGACTATATCCACTGTGACAGCTGCATCCAAGGATTTTGTGACCTGGTTGTAGAAGGCAACCAGGTTGCTGTGACAGGACCTGCCCCTAATGAACCCATGCTGGTTGGCCCTGAGCATAATCGCCCCTGCTGGTCCCTTGCAGATGTGTTCCTGGATAATTTTCTCCAAGACCTTCCCCAGGACCGAGGTAAGGCTAACAGGCCTGTAGTTACCCAGGTCCTCCTTCCTCCCCTTTTTGAAAATGGGGACCACATTGGCTCTTTTCCAGGCCTCTGGCACCTGGCCAGAGCACCATGAGTGCTCTTAAAACCGTGCCAGGGGTCCTGCAATGATCTCTGCCAATTCCCTCAGCACCCTGGGATGGAGATCATCTGGACCTGCTGATTTGATAGAAATTTGATACTCAAGAGGTGGCGCAGTCCTGGGGGATGGTCCTAATGCTTTTGAGTGGACTGGGGGAAGAAACATGCATTAAGAGATTAAAGATGGTGAAGGAAGTCCTAGATATGAGCTTTGGCTGTGTTGACTTCAAGGTGATGGATCTCAAAAAGACTGAAATCAAAGCAGCAGACAGATTTGGGTATAGCCTTGGTGAAAAATAGAAGCCAATACTATAGCTTCCAGCATATAAGTTTGAGTGGTACAGAGTGGGATGTCTAATTCAAAGGGGATGGGTAATAAAGGCGACACAGTGTTTTGAAGTGGTGTGCACTGATGAAGATGCTCTGTTCAATGGCTCCCTCTAGATCCCTTTTATTTATTTATTTATTTTAACCTTTGACTTGCACCCCCCTTTTTCATTCTTTATTTCTTTATCTTAAGTATCATTTATAGTCTGGGACCTGTGCCCCTCCCCTTATCATTCTACCCCAGGTCTACAGTCATTATAGCCAGCTAGTGAATTGCCCATCCAAAATGGCCGGGGGATGCAGGGGAGGTGGGCAAGGACAGAGCGCAGTCACCCACCATCCCATGTCACCACTGCCTCCCAGGAGTGTGGCTGGGGAGGGAAGCTTACCTTGCTGTCCCCTCCATCCCTCTCCACCAGCACACCGTGGCACCGCTGCCTCCATCACCACTGTCCTCGCCTCCCTGCTCCATCCCTGCCATCATGGTGGCACTCCGCTGCCTCTGAGGAGCAGAGCCGGGGTGGGGGCGGAGTTCCCCCCGCTCTGTCCCCTCCGCACCCTGGTTCGTTGTTTTCACTAACCAGAGTGCTCCGAGAGTATTATGGACAGACAGACAGACTAAGCCCTTTATTATATAAGAATATCTGTGGCTTATCTGTGGTAATGGGAATGGCCTTCAGCATTTGGCAAGCTCAAAAGCCTGCATAGATGTAGGCTTGCAATAGACATGGTGTTCTGTGGAAAAACAGGTTTGATTTCTGAACCATTGTAAGCCAACGCACAGAGATGTTAAAGTTTGGGTGTTAAATTAAGATGTGGGGCTAGACGTAGGGAAATTAGGTAGAGGAAATGGAATTTGAGGTGCACAGGAAAGATGGCTAGAAGTGAAATTCCCTGGAAAAGAACATAAAGGGAAAAGAGGAGGAGACCCAAGAATAGAATAGAATGAGGCTGGGGTAAAGAGCCTGCAAGCAGAAGAGTAAAGTAGATGTGTTCGTGATGACTGTTTCAGCTCTTTCCAGAACTTCGATGCGACTACAGAGCATGAAAGAAAAGGGCAGGGTTGAACATAAGTGACTTTTCTCTGGAAAGTTCCAAAGAGTGGCATCAGGTAGTACTCCTCTGGGGTTGTCTTAAACTGAGAGGTAAGCGTTCTCTTCTGCCACATTTCTAGTTCAGCATGTTTGAGTGGCTGGTGTGGATGAAAATGAAGTGGCTTGGGTTTCAAGGCCATCATCAGACTGACGCTTGGCTTTACAATTCTCTCCTTTCAAACCCAACTTGAAAGAGAGGCAGGACTGGCATGCTCCAATTAAAGTAAAGTTTGGTACTTGAATGAGTGAATTGGCTGTAGCTTGAGCCAAGTGGGATGGAAGTGGTAATTATGTGATTGGTTGGTCATACATCAGATGTTATATAGAACTGATGTCCTAACTCCTTGTTATAACAGATCTAAATGAATGGGACTCTTCTCTATAGAGCGGTGTCAGAAACCTAACGTTTGGCATTCATTCAGTTGGGCAGTTGTTCCAGTGCCATTTTGACTTGTTTGTAAGGTATTGCGCATCATTTTTGCTGTTGTTTTACCCAGGAGTGGTTCCATATCAGTGAGGTGAAGGAACTGGGTTTTGCTTTATATTTTTCTAAGGCAACTTTATTGGTTTAAGGACAGTGATGGTTGGATTTATTTTTTGAAAAAGAAGTTGATATGCCATCTTGCATGGTTCTTCATTGAGGGAAGGAAGTCACTGAGGGTGACATAGAAGCAAGACACTTGTTCAATGTACTCTTCATTAGTGGATTGACCTGATAAATAAGTCAATACAGTCTTGTTCATCTTCTTGAGTTAATGTTCATGAAAATCTAAAGCAACCCACAACCTAGAATTATTCTTAACTCCTTTTTGATTTTTGTTTTTGTTCAGAATAGCCTGGTCACTTCAGCATGGATCAGTCTGGGTCTCATACAGGGGGAGGCAGGGAGCAAGCCTCTCCTCGAGAACATGGCAATGGTGAGGATGAGAGACAACGGCAGCAGGAGCGTCTTAGCAGAGAGGAGGCCTATTACCAATTCATTAATGAACTCAATGATGAAGACTACAGAATAATGAGAGACCACAATCTTCTTGGCACTCCTGGTAAGATGTGTAGGACTGAAGTGGATGAGACAGCATATCATTATAAATCTGGAGTAACTTTAATTGTGTTTTACCCATATAGTTAGTAGTAAAATGTAGTCTGTGTCTAGGGAATGGCTGAAGAGTCAGAGGTTTCTTCTCTTTGAAAGTTGATGGATCCTCTTAAAAAAATCAACAGTATAAATTAAAAACTTGTGAACTAAAGTTCATTCTTTCTATTCCTGTCAGGTTTAGATCTATAATATACATCCAATTTGTAACCTCTGGGCACCTTTACAACTAAAATCTAAATCATTAACAAAATACACGATACACCCATTATAGAAGAAAATCTCTTCCCTTCTAAACTTTTAGAACTTAATGATGCTGAAAAGTTGGGGGTTATGAATTTCTGGTTTATATTTAGACCTTTGCTTCTGTTATGTAGTTGTATTGGTCAGTGTCACAGTCATGCTGTTGTTTCTTGTTTTATTTTTATTTCTGATAATTTGATGGCAGCAAAAGATGCACAGACACTTTCCTATATAGAGTATATATAGGAAAATGTCTATACAGGAAATGTTTTATTGAATAGTTGATAAATGTATTGCATAGATATGTGAACTGTTTCAGGAGAAATAACTGCACAAGAACTACGGCGACGTTTGGAAGGAGCAAAGGAACGTTTAGCATCCCAAACTGGTATGGAAAATAGGGAAGGTGAAGGCAGAATTGTTGGAGGTAACCTTTCTTCATTTACTTATTTTTAGACTATAAGTACATAATTCAATATGCTTATCCATGATCCACTGACTAGGAACATTTGTAAGTATGCTTCTCGTACCTGATGTTTGTGGATGTTGTGCCCTTGACTGCAGAAAGTAGACAAGTAGAGAGTAGTGACTTGGGAAGATAGACTGTCTTTCAGGATGCACATTAGCACATCAGTAGGGGAAAAATAGTGTCAACGTCAAGCACATTTTCAGGTAGTAGTGAAGGGAACACCTGTGTTATTGGATGACCAGCTAATGCATAAGTTATATTGTGTGGGGTCCATCAGGCAAGAAAATGAAGAATTAAAAGAGGAAATTAGGAACACAATAATAAATAAGGCATGGATGAAACATACGGAATAGAGTGATTTGATAGGAAAAATCCAATCCCCATTAAGGGAAAAATCTGCAAAACAGAGGTTACTACTATTGTAGTTAGAAGAAAAAAGTTATCCATGATGAGAGTGACTGAGATGAAAAGGCAGAGGTGGATTGGTGGTGTGAGCAAGAACAATCATTTAAGAAACGCGGGGATGTGGCAGCGGGCAAAGAGGAAAAACCTGAGAGCAGATGGAGCTGCTTTGAGCATATAGCCAGAAGGCCTGAAGAACAGGTTAGAAACAAAGCTTGGCTGAGTCAGAGACAGGAGGAGGCGGGAAAAACCCAAGAAGACATGCCATTGAACACAAGAGTTTCAGGATAGATGATAATGGCCAGAAGGTTGTGGAAAACGAAGACTCAAAAAGTGGATTCCACTAAAGGGGGAACATGATCAGATGAAGAAAATAAAATTTGTAATTCGATAAAGTTTTGTTAAATTTAAAAAAAATGCTGCCCTATTCTTTGGCAATCTCTTGTAGTCGAGAATGATTGTCTTATCTGTGTGTCCAAAGATGGCTAACAAGTCCTGTTTGGGATCAATAGACTCTACGTCATCTCAGATGTGTTTCCATGCAGGGTTTGTGGCGCTGGATTTTTTATTTCGTCCACAACATGCTGTTTCTGCTGCTCCTACTTTTCCATCTCTTGGTGTCATGAGGTTTCAGAGTACCAACATCCCTGCAGCAGACTCTTCCTCCATTTGGGGCAGTCCTGGGCAGTAGCCTCCCATGAGTTGACATTGATGTTGCATTTTTTTTTTTTTAAGTTGGCCTGGAGGACATCCCTGAAGCATTTTTTCTGCCCTCTTCTTGAGCGTACACTTTAGCTGATTTGGAAGAATAAAACTTGCTTCAGGAGTCTGGAGTCAGACATCCAGATGACATGGCTGGCTGCCCTATTAAAATGGCATCCATTCAACTTGCAGTTATCTATTATAGCTCTTCCTCTAAAGAGCAACATGTGCAAATTATGTATATCCTAATGCTGTGAAAGCAAATTCATGCTACTTCACAGCAGCTTCTTTGGGTGTACAATAAATTACTTACACCTCTTTTCCTTCAGACGAAACTTATTTGCACAAATATAACATACATTTCTGCCCATAAGCAGGTACCTAGCCTGCTGGCTTGTGCAGGTAGACTTTGTTCCTTGAGTAGCTCCTCAGCCAGTTCTCTCAATACACAGTCTTTAAGCAAGAAACAAAACCAAACCCTGCTGCCCTGTCTTGGGGACTAGAAGCGGGGAAGCCTTTGGCTATGACCCCTTACTGTAGCAAGCTGTTGTATTTGTAGTTTGCTTTCTTCTCTCTTGCATATTCTTCTGGGAGCTTTTTAAAGTTTGTTAGTGGAACACCCTCACTTATCCAAGTGCCCTGCAGCTGCACTCTCTCAACACGGCTGACTGTTCCCTCTTAAAGAGACAGACTGCCCCATTACACTGCCTCTTTAGATTAAAGAAAAATTAAACTAATTTCATACTTAGAGTCAGCAAAACACCGAGAAGTTGTATCCAAGTGGAAAACAAATTTAGTTAATTTCTCTTTTTAAACATTCCTCTTGAGGAACACAGTAACTTAATAATACAAGTTAATGTTAATTTTCTAAGCAGTCCGCTGACTGAAAAATTAGTAATTAACTGAACACTCACAAAACAACGGTCCTAAATTTCACTTATTTTATTTTTAAAAAAACCCAAAAACAACAACATTCAGTTCTGGCATCTTTTCTCAAACTGGGTATATGTTGGATAGCTCCTTGTTCCTGTATGGATTTACTGAAAGGCTGAATCAAAAATCTTCTCTATATGCATAAGAAAAGGAAATATATTTTTCTAAAAACAAAATTAAAATGGCCCCAAACCATGTCCACCTTCTGTACAGGCAGGGAATAATCTGCACACATGAAAGTTTAATAGGGAAGGGTTTGATAGAGATACCACCTTAATTTCCTATTTTCTTTAACTCTCAGGGTTTGTCTAGATCAGCAGCTCTCAACACAGTGCCCACAGGTGCCATGGCACCCTCCAAGGTTTATACAGATGGCCATAGACATTTTTATGATCAGTAAAAATCATTATTCCACAAAAAATGCTGTCACTGCTGATTGAACTCAGAACAGCAACACTTAAATCTTTTTCACAGGCTGTACAAAATGGCTGCCAAAATGAGACTGAGTCAGTTTGACTGAAGGAGTGGTGCTTACTACTCCTTCCTCAAATGCAACTATGCGCATGCACATATTCAGGAGTTACCTTGAGTCGGCCATGAGAGACTGACCAGCTAAATTCGGTTATGTAACGGCATGTCATATTGGTGCGCGCTGCTTTTTCTTTTAAATTCGAATGTGCCCTTGGGAACCCCTGGTCTAGATGGAAACACTCTGGAAAGTTAATCCAACTCGGTTAAAGATGTAAATTTAAAATAGGGTAGTTAAACTGTATTTTTATGCCTGACACTTATTCAGACTTTAAAACTCCTTAATTTGGTTAAACTTAAATAATTCACAAACTGTTGCATAAACCATCCTTTGTGCAGGGATTGGAACCAAGGTCTGCCCTTTCCCAGGTGAGTGGTCTTACTCAGACCACAAAGTCATGGCCATTCTCCCTCAACTCCTTAACCCAATGAGTCTTTTATTCTGTTTCATTCAACGGAACAGCTTCTGTAGGAAGCGTCAAGAGAGTCTGCATCCCAGAGTAGCATCTAGTCTGGTGGTTAGAGTACTGTTTCGGAGCAGGAGATAAGGGTTTGAACCTCTTATAGCTGAGGAAATAAATGAACTTGGTTTCCTATAGAGAGGGTGAGCACTCAAAACACTAGGGTACTATATATAAGAGAGGCACTAACATCTCTGATTCCATCTGTGTTCCCTACTCACTCCTGTTGAAAGAAAGTGCTTAGGCATTTACCTTTGGGAGAAGTAAACTGTATGAAGGGAGTGGTTGGATTTAAGGATATCCCCGATTCTCAACATTTGTGTTGATCATTTGAAATGACTCAGTCTTGGCTTGTTGGCTGTTGTGAACCCCTGTTCTGAGTTACCTTTTTTTTTTTTTTTTTTTTAACTGAACAGGGGCTTAGACTAATTCAGGACTGTGAATTCTGCCTTGGAGGCAGACACACGAAGATTTAAGATCGATCAGTGTTGCAACACTGAAGTCCATTTATGCATATGTATAAGTTGGATGGGTTTCTTCCTCCTTTTTTTTTATATACAGCGTACCTTCAGCGCAGCAGCAGCATAGTGTTTTGTACTACTGGATCAGTTTAGTTCAAAGATAGGGCAAACCTTTGAACAGTTTAAAAAAAAAAAAAAGTTAATGGGTTTTTTATCTCCTTCTAGATTCTGAGGTTCTTGGTGAAAATTCAAATGGTGACTCCTTGCTAGAGTGGCTGAACACATTTCGTCGCACAGGAAATGCTACGCGCAGCGGACAAAGCGGGAACCAAACCTGGAGAGCAGTGAGTCGGACCAATCCAAACAGTGGGGAATTCCGGTTTAGTCTTGAAATCAACATAAATCATGAACATAACAGTTTTGATGCTGCTGGTGAAGAATATGCAGGATCTTCCCACTCAGATAATAGCAGAACTAATTTAGAAAGCAGATTTCAAAGAGCAGTCAGTCCAATAGCCACTCGAACAAGGAGCAGGACCTTGAGAGAGAGAAATTATAATGCTCCTAATACTGCAAGGATGAGAACTGCGAGAAGTTCAGTGGCACAAAGGACTGGAGCAACCTCTCATTCTGGCTTAGGGAGGTTGAGAAGTAGAACTAGGGAGTCAACAGGTCTTTCCCGAACAAGCAGTGAACATAATTCTTCAGACAGTGGTGAGCACAGTGCTAGACAAAGGAGAATGCAAAGAAGAGATATATCTGCAGGTGTTCAGAGAGGTAGGTCTAGAACTAGTGTTCAGATGAGTACAAGCCAAAGACTAGAAATCCTAAGGTTAAGATCTACTTTGAGCAGTCGAAGCCGTTCCCCATTGCGAAGACAAGATGGCACTACTGAAGAGCACAGTCAAAGGCAGGATGGGAATTTACAGCAAGTCAGTAGAAGGTCTAATAGAAGACATGCAGCCCAGACTCCTTCTGAGTTAGGTGAAGAACAAACAGTGGGTAGTACAGAGGCTCCACAGATTTCTAATTCAGCCCCAATGTTAGGTGTAACTCTGGAAGAGGAGGAATCTAGTAGACCAGTAGCTTCTGTTCGAAGGCATCCAACAATTACTCTAGATCTTCAAGTAAGAAGAATTCGCCCTGGGGAAAACAGAGATCGGGATAGTGTTGCTAGTAGGACTCGTTCTAGAGTGGGAACAGCAGAAAACACAGTCACTTTTGAAAGTGATAGTGGGGGTTTTCGACGTACTATTTCACGATCAGAACGTGCAGGTATACGAACATATGTTAGTACTATTCGGATACCTCTTCGGCGGATCTCAGAAACTGGACTTGGTGAACCTTCATCAGCAGCTCTTCGATCAATTCTTAGGCAAATTATGACTGGCTTTGGAGAACTGAGTTCATTAATGGAGACTGAATCGAATTCAGAACTTCAAAGGGATGGTCAGCATTTATCAGAAACCCAGTCAGAATCAAATATCTCACACGCTGCAATTAATGACAGTGACCTGAGTGAGACATCAACTAGAAATAGACACACTGAAGAAGGCAGCACTGAAACAAATGGATGGAATGACCGTTCTCAACGCTATAGCCGCGATAATGAAAACCAAGGTAACAGGCAGTCTCAAGATGCAAACAATTTGGTTGAAAATGGGACATTGCCTATTCTTCGCCTTGCACATTTCTTCTTGCTAAATGAGGATGATGACGACGAGCGTGTAAGAGGTTTAACCAAAGAACAGATTGACAATCTTACCACCCGGAACTATGGGGATATTGACTCTGAGAATGAAATAAGTAAAACATGTAGTGTTTGCATCAATGAATATGTAATGGGGAACAAGCTAAGGCAGTTACCTTGTATGCATGAGTTTCATATTCATTGTATTGATCGCTGGCTTTCTGAAAATTCTACATGCCCCATTTGTCGGCAGCCTGTGTTGGGGTCTAATGCAGCAAACAATGGATAAAGTTATTTATATATTGTTAGGTATTGATGAACTTCTGCTCTAGTTATGATGAGCCAGATCGGGTGAATCATAACTTGGATAAGGTTACATGTGTTTGGGGGTTTTGTTAGACTTGTTTTAACATATAGGAAACTTGCCTAAACTTAGCAGTGTATATACTATTTTTCTCAAAGTGCAGATCTACAGATAGGTGTAGAACCAAATGATCTGAGTAAAATTTATATTTTTTTAAATAATTTTGTTATGCTAAGCACTTTTGTAAATACAGAAATGCAGTAGTTACTCAGTCCTGCTTAATGTATGTTTGTTTTTAAACTGAGTAATGGACTCACTTTATTTAGACTACAAATTTTTTACACAGGCTCACTACTGTGTTGAGAAATTGGTGTCTAAATAGCCATTTGTTAGTTTTTTGTTCTAAGAACAATTTCTTTTACAAAAAGTCTCTGCTGGACGTGTTTGTTAAAGATATTTAAGTTACTTGAAATGCTCAGTACGCACGCACGCACGCACGCACACACACACACACACACACACTATTATGCAGAGTGTGTGTATATATATTAAGGCTGTGCAAAGCGTTGGTTGCAGATTTGATTCGGGGGCTGAATCTCCGAATCCAGTCAGGAGACCCTTTAATCTCTCTGAATCGATTCAGAGAGATTCAATGATTCGGACATAGGCACAGCTTTTAAATATTTTTTTCTACATACTTCAAGGTACCAGGCAGCTTGTGAACGCTCAGTGGTGGACCTGGAAGTGGATCGGAAGTACTTCGGGTCCACTTCCGGATCCGCCCCCAAGTACATCCCACTATCTCAGCATTCATGAGCTGTACCTGGTAACTTGAGGTATGTATTTAAAAAAAAAAGGAAAAAAAAAAACATTTAAAGCTGTGTCTATGGCCAAATTGCTGATTCTCCGAATCAGCATCGAATCTTCATGTTCGGATTTCGCCTAATCAAATTGGGACAATGATCCAAATCAACTAATAGAATCACTGTCCCCTGAGTCAGGCCAAATCCAAAATTGAATACTAGGGGTGTGCAAAGCAGGCCATATAGGCACGCACACGCACGCACGCACGCACGCACACACACACACTGAAATACCCTTTCCAAAACCTTCCAGTTTGGTTCTGTGTGAACTTTCTCATGCCAATTTATGCATGTCGTTTCAGAATGCTTACTCTTAACAAATTCTTCTTTGAAAGTGGATGACTTACTGACATGATGAAATATACATAACAATGCAGGGTCTGACAATCGCTGTCACTCAGTAAATCAAGTCAAACTCCAATATAGCTTGTCTTGTTTGAACATAAACATTTTGTTCAAAGAATAAATGAGCACTTGAGAAGTTTTTGTACTGTTCTAAATTACTTAATCCAACTTCATATTTCTTTTTAGGCTATTTTAATTTGAAGAGAACTTCAATGCCTTGACCAACATACTGTCTCTAATATGCATGATTTGCATTCTACTCAAAAAAAGTATTGCTTTATGTGTTTTTTGTACAAGAATCTAACATGTACATGTACACTGTTAGTCTTCTTAAAGATAACTGTCCTTGAGGACCCAATGAGAAAAGACACTAACAGTAAAAAGACCTAAGTTTCCTATAACCCCCCCCCCCACAAAATCCTGTATAAGTAGATCCTAAGCTTTATACCAATAACTTAAAGGAAAAAAAGAATAAAATTGCAGAATGAATATGAGGCTTTGTGTGAATTACTGTTATGCTGCTTTCTATAGGCTGGGGAGGAAGATGTCATTCCTAATGTAGTTCTGTATTACATTTTAAGAGTTACCTTTGTCCTAGGAGTGCCACGTGTATGTATGAAGGGACAGATTTAAAGTGCATGTATATGCTGATTTGTCTGGGCATTATAGATTCATCCAAGAGCAGAATCCATCTTATTTTTTAAATTCTAAGTATTATGGTATAAAGCATGGGTACTTTATTCTATAGTAAACTATCCCCAAATCCATAGGGAAAGACCATGAACCACAGTGTGTGTGGTCTTAGACAGTGTACTTAGAGCAAGGAGTCTTTTCTCCAACTCCAAAAAGCTTTTAAACTTCCATGTACTTCATTGTAGCACAACCCTCAATGACATCCTGTAGATGAAGCCATATCCTCTCTGTTAATCTGTAATATGATTAGCATAATTTTTCAAGGGATGAAATTCACCTTAAGTGCCAAATGAAGATGGTTGTTTTTGAAAAAGTGAAGGTGCTTTTTAAAATTGTCATTAACAGTTAAGTCCATGAAAACTTCTATAAAATGTAGGGGTGTTTGTCTAATAAGAATGTGATTTAGGATACTGGTTATTAAAAGTAACAGTTTTCCTTGGTATTGCCTTAATCATACTAGAATTATGGAGGATTTAAACATGCCTGTCATTGATAGCTTATTGTGTAAGAAACTACCCTTCTTCTATTCCTATTCAATACCCCCAGCTTCAGTGTCTAAATCAGGGGTGAGTAAAGTACTGCCCACAGGCCAGATCCAGCTTACCAACTGACTGGATCCAGCATGCTCTATGTGGGGCGGAGCCCCACCTGCTGCCACTGGGCCAGCCCGCACTGCACTCCCGCCAGCCAAGGCTTCTGGCAGGTCTGTTCCCAGTGTGGCTGCAGCTGGCTAGATGCTTCTCTGCTCCCCTCACCTCCAGTGGGAGCCACCTGGCTGAAGCTTCCCCCCTTCCTGCCCATAACAGTGCAGCAGGGGAAGGAGTGGGAGGAGGAGTAGCTGCTGGAGATGAGGGAGCACAGCAGCACCCGGCCAGCTGCAGCCATACCAGGAACAGCACCACTGGAAGCTGCGTGCTGGCTGTGGCCCACACTGGTGGGGCTGTTCTGCTCCCTTTGCCTTCAGCTGCAGCTGCTGCTCCTGGTGTGCCACTCTGGGTGGGCAGAGGGAGAAGCTTCAGCTGAATGGCTCCTGCCCAGCACATAGGGCTCCAGCCTGAGCTCCCAGCTGCCTTCCACCCACTCTGCCTGTCTGGCACAATGAGCCACCCTGTGGGTGGGCAAAGCAAGTGGAAGGTGGCCTAGAGCTAGAGTTCCATGTGCTGGGCAGGAGCTACCTGGCCAAAGCTTCCCACCTGCCTAGAGCCGTGCAGCAGGGGAAGGAGCAGGAACAGCAGCCATAGCTGGAGGCAAGGGGAGCAGAAAAGCTCCACCAGCCCAGGCCCTGGCCAGCACACAATCTGTTCCCACTGTGGCTACAGCTGGCTGTGTACTGCTGTGCTCCCTGTGCCTCCCGGTGACAATGCAAGCCTAGCAGGCTGCAGCCACACTAGGAACAGCCCTGCCAGAAATTGTGTGCTGGCCAATGCCTGGGGCCAACAGGTGGGTGGGATCATGGCACAGGCTGCCCTGGGCAGGACTCAGCCCCATGTGGAATGCTGCAGGAGAAGCCACCAACTGGGTGAGCTCTACTGCACATGTACCACCACCCCTCAACTCCCAGCTGGCTCTCAGGCAGCCCCCATGCACTCACGCGCACCCCCTGCCTCGCCTCCCCTTTCGTTTTCTCACCCCTGCCTGGCTCTCAGGCAGTCCCCACCCCAAACACAAACATGGTCCTCTACATACCCCCATACACCCTCTACCCCACCCCCCAACAGGACAGGGTGTGCAGGGAGCGGAGCATGTCTGTCCTGCTCCCAAACACTGTTTCTTACCCACCAAGCCCCAGAGGGAGTTTTGATGAGTTATTGCTTGGTGGGAGTTGGGGGGAAGTGGAGGGGTGCTGACCTCGCCTGCAGCAGCTTATCAAAACTCCCTACATAGCCCACAGGCCCAAATAATTGCCCACCCCTCATCTAAATGTATGTCTCCCCTACCTTTTCCCTGTCTATTTATTAGTCCCCAGTCCCCTAAAAAGTCAGTGTGATGATTGCAGTCATATTAGCTGCTCTTCCTATAGCTTGTAGCACCAAGTTGGGATCCTGGTTGGCTGCTATAGGGTATACTAGGGATAAAGACAGATTATTTTTGCCTTCTTTCCTTGCAGGATGTGAGGCAGGATTCCATGAGATTAAAGCAGCAGGTGTCAAAATCATCTTCCCAGCAGGCCCATGGACATTCTCCCCTGCCAGCTCTGCCCACTATGCTGCATCCAAGGCCCACTCCAGTATCCACACTGGATGCAGCATGTGTCCCAGAGTGGCCAGGATAGGCACTGTGTGAAACACAGATCCCAGAGCAGCCAGACAACACATACCATGTGTCTGGGGTATGTGTTGAATGTGGCATCCCTGGCAACTGCTCTGCTCCAGCCAGTTCAGGATGCATGCAGCACCCATGGGCACCATATGCAGCACAGGTCCCGGACCAGCTGAAGCAGGCATCACATGCAGCACACATCCTAGAGTACTTGGAGTAGGTGCTATGTGCGGTGTGGTTCCCAGAGCGGCTGAAATGGGACAGATCCAGGTCACTTCAGACCCAGGGGTAGCACCAGGAGCTGGATAATGGGAGTCCACAGGCTGTAGACACCCCTGGGTTAAAGGACTGGCATCTGTTGTGTATCCCTAGAATGCAAGTATGTGGCCAGGTATTCAATTCAATTGCTGTTCAGGCACCTGCCAAAAAACAGGTCATATTTTCCATGAGTTATAGCTTCCACGTTGATATGTATTACTTTCATAAATAATAAATAATCTACACACAAATCTTTCCATGCACCTTAGTCAAAGTTTTGTGCTAACTAAAGTGAATCTTCAAAAGCACAACAGAGGTCTACAGGTATAATTAAAGGTGTAATTTGGCCATTCCTGATGCTGATTGGAGAGAGAAAAAGGGACTCTGCTTGATTGCTATCCAGAATACTATATTACCTAGGCTGCCACCAATTTGAGTAAATAGCTCTACCCTTGATTTTAATGGAAGCAAGGTCAGACATGTAATTTGTTCCTTTTTCTAGTTTCTAAGTAAATTATGGTAATGATGGTAATTAAAGCCTTGCCAGCTGCGTAACTGCTTTGTATTTACTTGTTGCTCTGCTGCTAAAAATGTAAGCCAGTGGCTTTCAAACTTTTCTGACTCAAGACACCCATCAGAAAAATGACAGCTCTTAGTTTTTGTTCAGTTTTGACTACAGAATAATAGAGCAAAAGTTCTGTTTTGTGACACGTTAATATTTCAAAATTTGATTTTATTCTCTATCAGAGGCTAGCAACAAAGATGATGAAGAAGAGAGAATTCACACAAGAAAATGCTGAAGAAACCAGGTATGTTTAGTTTGGAAGGAGACTTAAAACGATGGAGAAT